ACCCACCCACCCACCCCGCACTGGAAAACTATATTGAGTCAAACTGCAGACCTTCAAGAATGGAAACAGAAAACACAAAGGAAAGACTACTTCCTGTGGCCCATGCTCTGAACACCCCTACTCTTCCTTCCACTCCACCCTAGAAAGTCAGAACAAATTATACATATCTTCTACTCCAGGTCATTGTTTAGCTGCTCCCCCAAACAGCCCCTGAAACACTCAGGTTCACTTGAAGAAAGAGAATTCCTAGAAAGAAGGTCCTTGAGGAGCCAGCAATAACCTGCACAGGCTTCACTGCCTTCCCTTCTCTCTTCTAAGTCAGAGATGTACTTGTGGGTGAGGAGACCAACTCAGCCCAGAACTCCAGGTGGCTTGTAAGGACCCTGAATTCTGACTTTAGGAGACCTGAGGCAAGTCAGCTGCTTGCCTGACCTCAATCCTCTTCTTAGCCAAGGTAAGTTCCCTCTGCCAGGATCCTCACCATCCTTCATCTGAGATTCACCTGGCTATCCCTGAGTCTGCCTTCAGGACTTGGTTTACACATTAGCTCCTCCTGGAAGCCTTCCCTAAAACCCCATGTGCAGCTCTTCAGTGCAACTAATATTTGTTGGATGACGTAAAGGAAACAAGGGGACCATTCACATCACTTGGGTTCTGTAGAGGAGACCACAGGGAAGGACTGGAAGGTAAGGTGCAACCCTTACCTTCTTTTGTCAGTAAATCCACAGAATACGCCAACCTGAAAAGCACTACTCTTATTGATATTCAGCGTCCTGTGCAAAGAGGGAAAAGATCTTTTGTTTGCTTGCAGCAGGGAACACGTGTGCAGGATGCAAACTTCAAAAGACAGGAAAGGGTATACGAGACTGTAAGTGTTCCTCACCCCCCTCCCCCGTGTAGACGATTGCTGCTACTGTTTCTGGATTAGAAACTACTTTACAGACAGAGGTAATAAGGTGTTTAAGGACCGCGTGTGGTCAGGAGAAGAGGACTTTTCGAGTCAGTGTCGAAGGGAGAAAACGCCCCCGAGGTCCTCCTGCCTCTGCCACAGGCAGAGCCTCTAAGTCCTAGGCTAGAGCCAGAGGGTCGCCTGCAAGGGAAAATCCGCGGCAAGCCTGCGGCAGCGAAGCGGTTAACACGCCGGGCCCCGCCCTCCCAGCCGCCCCTTCCGGGCACAGGGGGGAGCGTCACGTCACTTCCTGGAGACTGGCTGAATCCGGAAGTGATCCCAGAGGAGCGAGTTGCTGTGGCGGACCCCGGCGGCAGGCCCAGGCTCGGGACCATGAGCTGGTGAGTGAGGCCCGGGCGGCGGGGCCTGCGGAAGCCCCGGGCCTCGAGGCGCCTGGCCCCTGCATCAGTTCCGAGTCCCCGCGCCCGCCCTTCCCACGCGACCCCTCTGCCCCTGGTCAGGGCCCAGCAGCCCCAGCTCCCGGGTCGTTTAGAGGGGTCTTCCTCCGGTGCTTTGTCGGAGTCGCCTTGTCCTGGGGAGTCCTGCTGACAAGTGCCGGAGAGTCCTCTTAGCCTGGGCTTCTGACTCCTGTTTTGCCGAACCCACGTCCTCCTCGCTTCTTGACGTGAGGAACTTCCTTGTTCTCTCCGCGTCTATTTCCATTGGGATGGAGTGAGTGTCTTTCTTCCCTCTGGACATCTTTCCATCGCACCCATTTGTCCCGTAGCTGTGGCCCTCACTCTGGCAGTCTGAGCCCAGTTCACTGATCTAAACCCGTTGGCTTTCAGGTATCTATCCTTTGCACCACTTAATAGTCTTCAAAAGTCAAAGAAAACGTGCATGTCTTTTGGTAGGGACTAGAAGTACACACCGCACCCACCCTCTCAGTCTGGAATTGGACTAGTCTTAATCACTTCCAGGGCCATTACCCACTGCCTTCCCTCTAAATAGACACTGTTAAGCGTAAACATCATGGGAACCATCACACCATGAAAAAAAGAAGCCAGGGAGTCTTAGAGTAAGTAGAAGAGTCACAACTCTATTTGCTGCAGAACTATATGATACTTGTCTCATAGGAGACATGTCATTTTGTAAGACTCAGTTTGCCCAGAAGGCAATCCCTATTCATTGCTTTGGATTGTTAATGTTCACAGTAGAGAACTATGACTTCCCTGCCTCCCTATGGCCTCCTTAAAGGATGCCCATGTCAAGGATCCTTACCTTACCGTCAGGTCCAAGGACCTGTATACCTACGACCCTGAACTTCAGAGGATTCAACTCCCAGTCACTTGTATAAATAAATTGACCCCCAGAGATGTACAAGATAAAGCAACCCTTTTAGAATCCAAGTTCCATTAGCATAGGAACATACTTACCACTCTGTCCTCAAAGTCTGGCATGTGTATGCAAAGTGCATGATAAGCAGTTATGAATGAATAGATAGTAGAATATCCTTCAGGAAGTCTTTTGCAGGCTAACATTTGGAGACTAAAGTTCTGGCTACAAGCACCTGATTCGGTCAGTGTCCAAGATAGTTCTCTAATGTGAGATTTAAACCGTTTCTGCCCCCCTCCCCGCACCTGCTTCTTAGCCTTCTAAGATTGATGGGCATATGTCAGACAATCAGCACCAGCACGTGGAGGGAAGCCTGGAGCAATACCCTAATAAGCCCCGGCAGGAGTTGCTCCTTTTCCCTCCACCTTTTGCTCCAGGAGACCAATAGGGGGCTGGAGCCTTAAAAAGCTAACTTTCCTGTCTTGTTATAACCTAGTTAGTGATGGGCAAAGTGGCAGTTCTTCAATCCCCTTTCCTAAAGGAATTACTTCATTTAAGTATCAATCTGGGTCTCCCAATCCTGTGATGTAAATGTCCTCTTACCTGCTGCATCTTGAATCTTTGGAGTGCTGTTGCCTAATTTTTCAAAGTAAAAAGCAGAAAGTACAGATGCTTTATGTTGCTTAGATTGGCATTTACTAAATTGATCTTTTTTTTTTCACAAATTGGGAGAAGAATAGAGACCAGTAAAGGTAAATGATTCTCTGGGTGATCTGAGGCAAGTTGTCTCCACCTCTCTGGCAGAAAGTTTTCCTTCAAAAAACAAGTAGCCTGTTTCCTGAGAGAATTGAAATTGACAACTAACTGTCAAGCAGAAGCTGCGATTTTTATCTAATAGAACTAGTTTACCAATACATGCACATCTTGGTACCTCCTTGGACTGAAAGACACAACCAGAAGGGTGGCTTTGTCCCTCAAAGCTGAGATTCTTTTCTCTTCTTCCTTTGAGGGCTTCTACGTCATCTCTTGCGTGGACCCTGACCCTCTATCCCTGAGAGGGGAACAGCACCGGCGCCTGGGCACACAATCACACTCAGTTCCTAGCTCAATGGCTGGCAAGGGGACCAGGGCTGGGTCCTTCTGATTCACACTCAAAGTGGTTTTTCTGCTCACAGAATGAATCCATCCATTCATATGAGACTGGAATGCTCAGTAAGGGAAGAAACCAGAGTGACGTAGAGCCATCATGGGAGGCTGATGCCCAAGGTCAAGTTCACCAAGTACATGGGCTATGCCAGCCATCATTAAATAAGGCTTAGGGGCATATGGCCCATGGTCCCCAGAGGCTAACCATTGTTCTGGGCTAGGCTGGGCTTTCAAAATGTCACAGTGAGAAATGTCTAATATTGATGCCCTTTGCACACTGTGGACTTTGCATGAAAAGTAAGAGGCTTTTGTTTTCTGCTTCCTCTGTGCCGACAACCCGCCCACCCCCTGTTTATTTAGTGGGTACCTGCTGCCTTCCTGCACCGTCTACCCATTCACTCAGCCACCCATCTGCCTTTCAGCCAGGTGACCTGGTGGCCCTTCCTGCTAGGAAGAAGGCATTTGATATTCACAGACCACTGATTCACTTCATGGCGCCTAGTCAAATGCTTCTCTCCCTCTCCTTTTTTCTCTGTCACTCTCTCCCTTTCTCTCTCTTTGTGTGTATGCACGTGTCTGTCTGATGGTATAGAGAAAGAATTAGGTTAGAATTAAGAATAGTGACCTTAATCTAGCTTAGCTCGCTCCAGGAATTTTGGCCTCCTCTGGAACCACACATGTTGATAGTCTTAGGCTTAAATGGTGAGGAAAGAGGAGTATTGGAGGAAAGCTGCTTCTACATGGGGTTCTAGTCATTTGAGAAGGAAGGAAATTAGAGGCAGAACAGATAAGTTTGACCAGGAATGAAAGTGGTTCAAATTCTAGTTCCCTCACTCACAGAGTGGTTTGGTCAAGCATCTAATTGCTATGTTTTCTCCATCTGTAACATGGAATGAGTAGTCCCAGCTGGCATTTTGCTACCAAGTCTGCTGTGAAAAGAATGGAGATATGATCCTTTCCTGACTCTTCTGGGCTCTTCCTCTTCTGTCTGCCCCTCCATGTTAGTCTTCCTCAGGTGTGATCCTTCTTTTCCCCCCTTTTCTGTCTCACCCTGTATACCCTTGCCATCATCTTCAGGATAGAGGGCTAACTCTGGACTATGGCTTATAAGGCCCTTCTGGATCCAACTGTCCCACTTCACTTCTGTGTGCAATCCTCCAAGCTTTTCCTGCTCTCTCATGCTTCTCTTCATCTGTATAAATTGTTTCCACTGCCTGAAATGCTTCCTCTTCACTTGCACCCCTGTCTACCAGGCCAACATCCACTCATTCTTCAAGAGTCAGGCCATGCTTCACCTCTCCTGAAGGTCTTCCGTGAACAGCCCACCACATCCTGCCACACTGCTTTGAGTGTCCTTCCCCACCACACCTTCTCCTCTGACCTTCATTAGCATCTGTGCTCAGTGGGTTGGCTGACTTGTCTATGAATTGTTGAGTATGGGGACTGTCTCCTGGCCATGGTTCTTCCCTAGCACTATTCCTATCCATCAGTAAATGTTTTAGTTTATTTGTTGTGGGGAACTTTGGGGTTTTTTTGTTTTGTTTTGTTTTGGCAGAGTCTCACTCTGTTGCCCAGGCTGGAGTGCAGTGACACAGTCCTGGCTCACTATGGCCTTGATCTCCTGAACTCAAGTGATCCGCCCACCTCAACTTCCCAAGTAGATGGAACCACAGATGCATATCACCATGCCTGGCTAATTTTATTTTTTGTAGAGACAGGGTTTCGCTTTCTTGCCCAGGCTGGTCTCGAACTTCTGGGCTCAAGCAATTCTCCCGCTTCAGCCTCCCAAAGTGCTGGAATTACAGGCGTGATCCATCGTGCCCAGTTAGTAAATGTTTATTACATGTATGAGTGAGGACTTTTTCCCCATTTACAGACTTGCCTCAGCTCAGGAAAAATTTTGAGATAAAAACATGCAAAACCTACAATTCCCCTCCTGAAATGAAGAGCGTCTAAAAGTGCTGTTAAGTTGACTGACACGAGTGGCTTCCAGGCTGTTTCTGATTTCTTGTCCCTGCTCCTCTCTGCTACCCCACTCCAAGCCGCTTTGATGGATTTATCTATACTTCTGCAGTGCTTCCCCTAGAGCACTTCTCTCTCACATCAACTCCATGAGAACAGACGCTACAACTTCATCTTGGTGTACACGTGCTGCCATGCATATAGATAGTAGGCATTTCTATAGGTAATTGTTACATGAAATGAGGGGAATATAAAGGAAAAAAGGGTAAACTGGACCAGACAGAACCATCTACTCGGTTTCAACATTCTCTCAGTGTCTCTTTTCCCTTGTGATGACTGTTGCCATCTTACGTCTGTATAGTGTGTCTAACTTTTTAAATGACTTTGTCAGGCATTGTCTGATTTTGTCCTCTTGGCTACCCTTTGAAGTATGCGTGCACATCTTATTATCCCCCCTGGCAACTTACTAGAATTCACAAAGCAAGTAGCTGGCAGAATGGAACTAAGATCTGCCTCTCTTGAGTATTCTGTCCTCTTGACCAGGACTATTAGGAAAGTGGAAGACCATCCCCAAGCTGACTGGATCCAGAAGAGGGTGTTTCACTTTGCTAGAGTGTGTTGACACTGGCTGGTGGGTAGCGAAGCTCAGGGAGTTGTCAGTTTCCACACACAAGTGTTAGGAGAAGTCCTTGTGCCCTGCAGACCTCTAGGTATGGTGTGACCATCTCAGCTTCTTCCACCTATGGGGCCCCTGCCTGGGAAGCCTCACACTTATGTCCTCTCTGTCTTGGGCAGGCCACACTTTTCCTCCTCTCTGGAGAGAGCATGGAAATGCCTGGAAGGCAGGGACCCTATAAGAGGCCTGTGAAGTTCTATATATGACCTTGCTTTGGGCACACACATAAAACAGCTCGTTCTTACTTCAGGTGTTGGCAGTGAGAAGGGAAGGAACTTCTTC